GGAGGTGGTTGACAGTTTGCTTGCGCCTCACCCGAAGTATTTACAACATGATCGTGGTGCTTTGGTAGTCAGGTCATGACCAGCGGAAGTGGAGGTGTGTCAGTCGCCTCATGCCAGGAAGAAGAGGAGAAGTTTGGAGAAAGGAATTTGGGACACCACAAGTCAACAGGAGTAATTTGGATGCTGTGTAGAGCAGAGGGGGCTTTGGTGAGTCTTTAAACACATTCTAACGCTGCAATGGAAGGCTAATTGACTTGTAGACCCTTGGTCATGGCTTCCCTAACACCAGTGATGTATAGAAGCAAAAAGAAAAAAAAAATAGCCTTGTCCCAGAGAGCTTATTGTTAAAGTGCCCTGTCTGGGGAAAATTCCCTTTAAGTATGTGATCAGTTCTTTACTGTTAACGGGGCTTTCTTCAAAGATCTGAAGTAGCTAATAATGGAGAGAGGTTGTCCTTATTTGTCTGCCTAGGGTAGAATCCTGAAACCCACGGGGTACGAGCTGGTATTTGTTGGGATCTGATGTTTGTCTGAAGAAGACATCCGACAGTGTCAATCAAACTTCCTTTTATTGATTTTTTTTCAGCTGCTTGCTTAACAAAACCAACACATTTCACAATGTGTTGCCGATACTGTCAGCATTTTTGTGGGACCTGTTTTTCACATATTGACTGAAATTATTATTGCAATTGCTTTGAAATTATAAAAATTTTCATTTAATGAAAACCATCTCCCTGGAAATCATACTGGGTTTCAGATTAATTATATATGCTTTTCACACATGTGTGATTCTGAGGTCCTGTAGTATCAGTTTCATCATTCCTGTTCTTAAGGCTTTCTTCTGCATAAAATGTCAGGAGGTAAAATGAGAGTGTTTACCAGTGCTATCCAGGAACAAAGCAAGGTTAAATAAAGGCTGGTGTCTGGCTCTTTACTCTTGATTTCAATAGCTACTTGATTAGCTCAATGTTGTTTTCTAGCATCCTGGGACTGGACGGGACTGGGGCTGAGGAGGACTATGCATTGTGGAATTTGCCTGGTACTTTACTGCATGGTGCTTGAATTCTTGAATCCTTCCTCAAGTGAGTGCCAGCTGCCTGTCAGATGGTACTGTCAGGTACACTAGGATTAGAAAAATTACTTACGACATGCACATTTAGCTCTACTACATTCTCATAAAGCTAAACTGGGGAAGTGGAAGCATTTGGCTTCAAAGACATAACACTTTTTCCAGATGGTTCTGTTACTCCGTATCGTCCACATGAGCTCTTCTGCTTGTCATAGCTTTCCCCTCCACCCTCCTGGAATTCTGCTTACCTGTGGCAGGTATAAAATAGTTCAGATATGCCTTTAAGATTTCTCAGTTCCCAAATGACTAGTACAATTCTGACATTGTGAGGACAGCACAGCATCTTGAGAATCCTCTCTGGTCCTGAAAGTGCTCCACCTTAAACAGCGCGAGTGGTTGGAAGGGTGCTTTCCCAAAGTCTGTGTTAATCATCTCAGTCAAAATGCAGCCTTTCTTCCTGGAAATCTTTGTCCAAAGTCTGAGACAAAGTTATTAATTTTAAAATGAGACTGACATGCACGCAGTTAAGCTCTGGACTTGACTTTCCTGGATTTCTGTTAAATACCTGGAGGTCGGGTCAGTGGTCAGCAGAACTCTCCACTGCTTTCATTTGAAAGTATGTCTGAATTTTTAAAGGCTTGTCTTGGCAATGACGAAATGGAGTTATTGGTTACGTCAGAGAACACACAGTTGTATTAAATTAAAAAAGGGGGAAAAGAAACAAAAGTGCATCCTGTTCTGTTGTCTCCTTGCTGCATCCATCTAGTTTCTGATAGTGCCAAAAAGGCATATGCTGCTCCTTTTAATATTGAATGAATGTTGTGCTGTAAAATGAGGATGTCACTATCCTCTTCAAACTGTCCGCTGACAGATTAATTCTGTGCTTGCTGTCCTAATGCCTACAGGGGCATTTCCTTCTAGCTCTTTCAGTTTCTCACTGGTTTTCTTGAGATTTCCATCCTGTGTTCTTGTACAGTTCTGCAGGGTGGTGCTGCAGGGTCGCTGGTTAATACAGCTAGTTTGGGCATGTATTCCTGGCACAGTTTATCCTTTCAAGGTATGCTGGTACCCCTTTGTATGCTGAAGGATGGATATTGATGGTGATTTCAACTTTATCATGATCTACCTGCATGCTTTCCTGCTTTTGCTGGAGGGTATGTTATCTCTCTTAAATGGGATTTACATATTTCAAGCCCATTCAGCCCAGCAGCTTTTGCTCTCTTCACAATCGCCTTGAGCCTTTGATCATTTTCTTCTGCTGTTTTACCCCAGCTTAAAATGCCATCTGTATCCATACCATCAACAGTTTGTTGTTCTAGTAACAACCCAAATGGCAGTCTGCAGAAACAGCATTTCTCTAAAGGAGCGTGCAGTCTGCACAAATGAGCACTGTTTTTTGAATCCTGCTGATGTATCCACTGTATAAAAAGATCTCGCAATCTTTCTCCAATATTTTTCTTCTTATAAACAATAAAATATGTTCCTTTTTACATTGCTAGTTGCCTTTTAGCTCTGTACATTAGGAAAAGGCTCTTCATCCTTTTCCCACAGTAGTCAAGGAGTTTCCTCATTTTGATGATTCTTGTTTACATGATGATTCCCAGTTTATTTTAGCTTTTGATTTAGCAGTCGTAGAATCTGAGACAGCTTGGCTTTTCCACTTGTATTTCTTACTGTGTTCACTCTGACTCCTTGTAATCCATCTTCAATTCTTCTTTGGTAGCTTTATCCTCCTGGCTCTCCAATGAATACATTTGCTTGATGATATCCAGGACATAACAGACTTTTTTGTCTGGTATTGGGTGCTCTTCTCCCTGATGTTATTACAATCAGTATGGAAAACTGTATTCCTGCTAATTTGTGATTTTTCTATATGATCCTGCCTTCACTTCCCCCCACCCCCCCTTATTCTGGCTTTTAAAAGGAGGTATTTGTGGTAATTTTGACAACATATTGGCTGAAGCCCAGATATCCAGCTGAAGATTATTAAATGTCTCAATTGTTCTCAAGCAGGTAATGCATTCATCTTAAACGTCGTGGTGTCCATACCACCCTGGAGTTATCTGTTGCTCTGGCGGCGCTCTCCTCTCCCTGCCTGTTGCTGGTGGCTGCTCTCTCCCCTTCAGGTACCGACCCGGAGCCACACAACGGTTCTGCACTGCTAGAGGTAGCCTGGAGTCGAACCAGCTGTCCTGGCTGCCGTGGGCTTGGGGTGGGAGGCTGGCATCGCTTGCAGGGAAGCAGGGCTGGCAGACCTCGTTGCAGCGGCAGAACGATCACGCTTGTTGAACACAGCATAGCAAAACTCTCGCTTCTTGTACTGGCAAGCGGTGGTGACCAGCTACTCTGCCATTCACTCTTCTCTCTCCTTCTAACCCTCGCTGGGAATCAAACTTTTTGGCAGAGAGCGGTGTAGCTGCCTGCATTAGCTGACCACCACACTTCTGCTGACAGCCATACCCACCCAGCAAACACAGAAGCTGCAAGAAGGGGCCCATCTGATGAGGGCAGTAGTTGGGGATGTGCTGGCAGAGAGGTGGCCTCTTAGAAAAAAGTAATCAAACGCTTACTAGATTAAAGTGACCACCTTCACATGCACTTGGGAGCAGATGGGAAGCTGGTACAGTACCCAGAGCACAGGTGGGCTGTGCTTGTGCCAGCTTGCTCTCCTAAGCAGGTGAATTGCTGTTTCTGGACAAGCTGAGGCTCTCCAGGGGTCTTTGAGGTGTTTCTCTGCTAGCAGCAGGGAAATATAGCCATGCACACACAGTGCAAAACTGCATTAGCAGCGAGGCAGACAGCTGCCTGTGTTCAGCCTAGAGCTGGCCCGAACTCACCGGCGTACTGTGCTTCCAGCAGAGCAGCTGGGCACGGAGGGCTTGGTGCTGCCAAGCGCCGAGAGCTTCTTGGTAGTGCTGGGTATCTCTGCTTCCTCAGTCGGGAGGGAAGACAAGACCAGCACCAGCCCTGGGAAGGAAGGAGCTCCTGTCTATTAGCATGGGCTTGCTGGGTAATTATTTGTGAATGGCCAGCATTTAGGGTCTTGTCCAAAATCCTCTAGAACTGTGGGACTCTCGTGAGCATTTTAAAGGAGGCTTTTAGTTTTCCCCGCGCGTGGGAAGTTTCCCTGAGGAGAAGCAGCAGTGGCTTTCCATGTTGCAGTGCGTGGCTGCGGAGCTGACCTGTGCTGTGCGCCAGGGAGCTCCAGCATGCAGTGGTCAGATGGCCTGGAGGTGTTACACATTGCACTGTCAGCGGTGAATGCAACCGAGATAAAACCCCATGGCCAAATCACTTTGTAACTAAACCTACCCACTGCCTAGGAAATACATAAACTTTTGAGGCCAAGTGCTGGCTTCTGAGCAAAACCTGTGCTCCAGACGCTTGAAAAATGTCTGGCCCCTGTTTTTCATTAGTAATGGAGGCATAATCCCTTCCCATTTAAACCATGCTGAGAGACATATGCTCAGTTCGGTAGCCCTGTGGATGAGGATGGGAGACTTAAAAGGTGAAGAGAGATTTGTATTTTCCTCTTCTGACACTTTTCCCCCAAAGAACCCTCAAACTGATTGAAATTATGTGAGGGAGAAAGAGGGATTCACAGAGAAGGAGCTGGCTCTTTACAGGCCGTACTGCGGAATGGGTTTTGTCTGGGAAGGAGGAGAGCTGAATGTCCCCTCCCACCTCTCACATTCAGAGCTAGAGGGACACTTACTGACATGCAATTTCTCCCAAAGACTAAGGACAACTGGAAAGGAAGGACACCCCGTTAGATCGGTTCATAAAAAAGGTAGCACTAACGTGCTTTAAAACCATTAGCCAGACGCACTGGTAAGTGGTTGAAGATACTTTCCTTGCTTGGCTGCCAATACCACCTTCAGCTCACGAGGTAGACCTTGAGCACAGGCTCGACAGGTTCGTCTGTTCTTGGCTTAGGCGTAGTACTGCGCTGTCTTCTCGGTGGTCATCAGGAAGGTCCAGCGCACCATCTGCATGACCAGTGATGTGGGTGAGGGAAACCTGGGTTCAGAAAGTGGTGCAAATGGGGGGATTCTCTTTCCAAGGACCTGAGATAAACTATCGTGCTGGATCTTCTGCCTGCTTCGGCTGAATTGGTAGAGCCAGTCGCTGCTCCCCTTTTGAAAGAAAGAGTTCAACTTTGCCTACTTGTACTCTCTTTGATATCTGTCTCTAGCTTCCTCAGAACAGCCTGAAAACGGAGGAATAAATTCAGTCCATAGAATGGGGAGCTTCTTATGGTTTCGTCCTGTGCTACGCATTTGCTAGAGAAGAAAGAACTTTAATCAGTGCCTTCACGTTCTTATGGAGAGCAGGGTGGCTAAGGGGGCACCAGGTCAGTCTGCAGGCTGTCACCACATCTACCTAACCTTGAAGTAGACTGTGATCCACTTGGAGACACAGGAGAAAGTAAACTAAAGCAGAAAGAAGGCTTGGCTGAGCACGGAACTGGCATAGCCTGTTCTTCTCCTGCCCCTCTGCAGTCCCAGCTGAGGGCAAACAGGTAGCACCCATCTGCTGACCACCACTTGTTCCCCCACCTCTTGCTCTTCTTCCCGCTACTGTGGTCCAACACTTTCTTAATTTGCTTGTGTAAAAATGAACTCGGACAGGGCCTGAAGGCACAAGAGCACACCTCATTTTCGAAGGCAACCTCTTTGATTATTGTGGGATGGTTTCCTTTAAATCTGGGCTGGAGTGCAGTGGAAGATCTGTCTGTGGCCAGGCTCCAAGACCAAGTCCCTGGAGAATGCAGACAGACAGAGAGAATGGAAGGACAGAATAAGCGAAAGAGCAAAGGAAGAAAAGGGAGGCACTGTGACCCCTGCGCCGAAGCCTTGTGAGCGTGGCAGAGACTTCTGTGTGTTTGTGTGGAACGGGGGCTGTTTAGATAAACAGATGGCAACAAATGGCATAAAATTATATACCCATAATGTCAGTTCATAACATTTTGTTCGACATACTTGATTTAATCGCTTAGCTGACGATTTTGCTTTTGGGCCCATATGGTGGCAAATGGCAAATGAACCCTCTTTACACAGCAACTCCAATCTGGCACTTTTATCACCGAGACTTAGGGAAGAATCCGGGAGGAAAGAGATGCAGATGGAAAATGAATGAGCAAGCAGGGTGGGGTGCATGTGTGGGAGGAGGAGGCTTCGAAGGTGCGGCCAGGGGAGTGTTCTTGGGAGAGGAATTGGGGGGATGGGGGTGAAATGGGGAAGGGAGGGCTGGGACAAAAGGAATCAGGAGCTGCTATTTTTGTGAGCATCTAGGAGATGAAGCAGTGAATTTCTTAGGAAGGAGAATTCGAGAGAAAAACTGTGGAGAGAAAATACATAAAAAGTCAGGGGAATGGTGCTAAGGGGAAGGGAGACGAGGGGATGCCACCAATGGGCAAGGTGGAGACAGCAGATTTTAGGAAGCGCGTTCAAATCTAATCTACAAACATAGAGGGGCGAAAAGTGTGAAACCGAGCGAACAGATTGTTTGACTGGATTCTTCAAAGGGCCCAGGATCTGTGGGATCTGTACCAAATGCAACTGGGTTTCTCCTGTGCTGTTACCAGCATGGTATTTCTGAGAAGGGGTATCCTGAGAAGGGCAACGTGAAGGTGATGACCAAGTTCCTATGGCAGATTATTTTATTTGTCACCAAAATTATGGTAGCATCTAGCAGGACGTTCTGGCTGTAAAACTGCTTTGCACAACCTGGCTTTTCCTAAAGCTGGGAGGAGGCTGGACCTTCACTTTATATGTTTTTTCAGTGAGTGCGATGTTGTGAAATGTTGAGGACCCTGAGTTTGCCTGGTGAGCAGGGCAGTTTCACCAGGCACGTACAGTGTAGCTCTGGGCATCTCCCTTTGCATGTGCCAAGGGGAGCACAGCAGTGATCCTCAGCAGGATGGAGGTGATACGATATGGTAGGGCCATGCTGAGGCCATATCTAAGCCTGGCAAGACTGAGAAGTTAGGAGAAGTCAGAAGGAGCTGCAGATGTGCTTTTTGATAAGACACTTCTCCTGACACAACATCAGCATCCTCATCATTTATTGTTTGGAAGAAAACTCACTCGCCAAAATCCTCTGTGAGCCCAAAGCATTGGTCAGTGAGGCTGGGGAAATGCGTTTCCTGTGATTATGGGAAGTATGCAGCTAGTGAAATTTCATCGTGACAAGGCACACTGTCTCAGCATAATGAGGTCAGATCATTACAAAGAAATCTGTCATGATTCAGGCAAGCTTTCTCCAACACCTCTTCCGCTTCA